TATTTTCATTGCAAATCATTAAGCAATGCAAAAGAAAAAGGAAAACCTCCCTGAAATCTCATTATTTGACAATTATACATCAGTAACGCTGGGGGAAAATATTTAAAAAAAAAAACTCCCAAGTCCCACCATCTAAAAATAGTCATTATTAACATTTGATTAACATCATTCTAAATGTCTTTTTATGCCTTTATATGAATAGAATGATAGATAAATAGGTATATAGACAAAGGTACTTAAAAATGGTATCATAAGGTGTGTTATTAAAAAATAAAAAGTATTTTATTCAAGTTTACTTGAATTTAACAGAATTGAGTTACAGTTAATTGAATTCTGTTAATCCTGAATTCTAATTTAAGTTAATTGAATTAAAGAATTCAAACATTCAAGTTTACTTGAATTAAAGAAACTAAAAGGAATAAAAAGGAAAAAAGAAATAAGTATAAGAAGACACTTGAAAAATTTGGACTTCAAATAAGGGTTAGGAAAAGTGATTTTGACATTATGTTGTTTTGTTTATTTGAATTTAATTTAATTTAATTTTAATTTTATTTTATGAGACAGGGTCGTGCTCTGTCACCCAGACAGCAATGCAGTGGCATTGCAGCCTTGAACTCCTCCCATCCCAACCTCCCAAGTAGCTGGGACCACAGGCATGCGCCACTACACCCAGCTAATTTTTTTATTTTTGTTTTTTAGGAATGGGGTCTTGCAATATGCCCATACCGGTCTTGAACTCCTGAGCTCAAGTAAATCCTTCTGCTACAGCTTCCCTAGTTGCTGGGATTACAGGCAACTGCCCAGCTCTAGTTAAGAACACATTTTAAATTAGAATCTACTGTGAGCCCAAAGAGAGCACACTCGTACTATACTATCTTCCATTACCCCCCCGACAGGGCCCAGTGTTTCTTAGTCATACTATTTTACACTGTTAATTCATATAATATGTACATGGTATAAAGCAATGATGCACACAGGTATTCAGTATTAATTCCGTATTTAAACAGATTCAATGATCATCACAAATCCTTGTACCAAGACTTCTTAATTCTTGAAGTCTTAATTTTGCCCTATTTCTTAATTGGCTGAATTTCACTTTCAAGCATTTCCTCAAAAAGAATTTGAGAGAGCTCTTTTTTTTTTTTTTTTGAGACAGATTTTCACTCTTGTTGCCCAGGCTGGAGTGCAATAGCATGATCTTGGCTCACCGCAACCTCCGCCTCCCAGGTTCAAGTGATTCTCCTGCCTCAGCCTCCCGAGTATCTGGGATCATAGGCATGTTCCACCATGCCTAGCTAATTTTGTATTTTTAATAGAGACAGGATTTCTCCATGTTGGTCAGGCTGGTCTCAAATTCCCAACCTCAGGCGAGCTGCCCACCTTGTCCTCCCAAAGTGCTGTGATTACAGGCGTGAGCCACCGTGCCCGGCCAGAGAGAGCTCTTTTCTCTGCTCTTTTGTATTTGTGGGAATCTGCCTAGTATCTTTATTTCCAAATGACATCTTGGCTGGGTATAATATTCTTGGATCATACTTTTGTTCTTTCAGAATTCTGTAGCCTGTGCTCCATTGGCTTCTGTCTCTGGAATGTTGTTGTTGAGAAATGTAAGGATAGTCTGAGTTTTTCTCCTTGCAGGCATTCTACTTTTTCTGCCTGGATATCTGAAGTTCAATAAGTTAATTACAATATTTTTCAAGACAGAATATTCTGTATCAAGTGCTTTCTGTCTTGACCTTTCAAGCTGTAGATTAGTACTTCATTTTGGCGCAAACTTTTGTTTTTATATTTTTGAATACTTCTGTTCCATTTAATGAGTTCTCAATTTCAGGGACACCAATAACTGCTGTCTTCCATATCTACTGACTTCTACCTGATTGTTTTAATATCTTTGTATTTTCATCTACCATTATTTTGATTATGTAAAATCTTTTTACATATCAATAATTTCACTTATGGGGTGTAAACGTCTTAAAAAAAGAAAAGAAAAAACTAATTCCACTTCTAGCCATGTTTATTGGTTCCTTGTTTTGAGGTATTTATTAGTCTTTGGATTCTCAAATGTGCAATTTCCCTATTCATCTTCTTCAGTTGTTTTATTATCTTGGTTTTGAGTTCTTATTCTATTAAGCTCATTTTCTTCTCTTTTTTTTTTTGAGACAGGGTCTTGCTCTGTTGCCCAGGCTGGAGTACATTCATTTTATGTGTACAAACCAATGATTTTTAGCAAATTTATAGAGTTATACAGCCATCATATATACATGTACATAAATACATAGTTATTTTCTTAGGCCCTATTTAACTTACTCTCCCAGTTCTAAAATGTATTTACCTACTTACCTATGCCTACTGCTTGCCAACATGACTAGAGGCAGCTTTTCAGAACTCTTGGATAGTTCTGTTCCTGTCAATTGAGCTACTTGCCTACTAAATGACTTTGGGCTTACTTATTTATTAATATATCAGTGATATTTGCTATCATAATTTAGTTAAATTTTTGAAAACATGAAATATGAGCATAAAGAGAAAAGAGATGTTGCTGTGAAAACCAAGTTGAACGCATTGGAAAGGCTTATTAAAGGCAAGTTGTTAAAAAAGATTGTTAAAGTAACTCTGGGTCAGAAATCTGAGAGTGGAAATTCTTCCACCTAGAATAATTTCACATCCAAACACTGTAGCTCACACCTGTAATCCCAGCACTTTGAGAGGCTGAGACAGGAGGATCCCTTGAGCCCAGGAGCTCCAGGCTGCAGTAAGCTATGATTGTGTCACTGTACTCCAACTTGGGGAATAGAGCAAGACCCTGTTGGAAAAAAAAAAAAAAATGTCATCATAGCACTATTCATAATAGCAAAGACATGGAATTAACCTAAGTGCCCATCAACAGTAGACTGGATAAAGAAAATGTGGTAGGTATACACCATGGAATACTACACAGCCAAAAAAGGAATGAGATAATGCCGTCTGCAGCAACATAGATGGAGCTGGAGGTCATGATCCTAAGCAAACTAATGCAGGAACAGAAAACCAAATACCACATGTTCTCACTTATAAGTGGGAGCTAAACATTAAGTACACATGGACACAAAGAAGGGAACAACAGACACTGGGGCCTACGTGAGGGTGGAAGGGGGAAGAGAGAGAGGATCGAAAAGTTACTTATTGGGTACTATGTTCATTATGGTGGTGACAAAATAAAACGTACACCCAACCTCCTTGACACACAATTTACCTATATAGCAAACTACATATGTAATCCTGAATCGAAAATAAAAGTAAAAAACAAAAAGAGTTTTGGCCTGGCATGGTGGCTCACACCTGTAATCCTAGAATTTTGGAGGCTGAGTGGGGTAGATTGCCTGAGCTCAGGAGTTCGAGACCAGCCTGGGCAACATGGCAAAACCCCATCTCTACTAAAAATACAAAAAATTAGCCGGGCATGGTGGTGGCATGCCTGTAATCCCAGCTACTCGGGAGGCAGAGGCATGAGAATCACTTGAACCCGGGAGGTGGAGGTTACAGTGAGCCGAGATCACGCCACTGTACTCTAGCTTGGGCGACAAGAGCGAAACTCTGTCTCAAAGAAAAAAAAATGCAGAATCATAAAGCATTATACAATACAGTATACAGTTTTGTCTTAAGAAAAATAAGCTTATTGTATAAGCATTTCCTTTTAACTTAAGACTTACAAATTGAAGTAGCTTCAGGATTTTTCCATGAATATAGCCGTCTGAATGAAGTTTCCTGCCTTTAATGAACTATTTATAATTTCTTTAAAGGTTTCTTTAAACTGGAGCAATAACTGAAAGACATTTGTGAAGCAATCTGAATGCAAAGTTGATTACAAATCCCGTGGGTTTGTAATCAACTTTTCTTTTACAACATACTAAAGACATTTTTCATATCATTTTATGCAAATGTACCTCATTTTTCTTTTTTGAGAGAGACAAAAAAGAAACAACCCCCTGTTGCCCAGAGGGTAGTGCAATGGCAAGATCATAGCTCAATGCAGCCTTGAACTCCTGGGCTCAAGTGATCCTCCCACCTCGGCCTCCCTAGTAGCTAGGATTACAGGCACATACCACTACCCCTGGCTAATTTAAAAAAAAAAATTTTTTTTTTTTTTGGGTGGAGATGGGGTCTTGCTATGTTGCCTGGGCTGTATTCACTTTTTATTTATTTATTTATTTATTTATTTATTTATTTTGAGACAGAGTTTCGCTCTTGTTGCCCAGGCTGGAGTACAATGGCATGATCTCAGCTCACCGCAACATCTGCCTCCCAGGTTCAAGCAATTCTCCTGCCTCAGCCTCCTGAGTAGCTGGGATTACAGGCATGCATCACCACGCCTGGCTAATTTGGTATTTTTAGTAGAGACAGGATTTCTCCATATTGGTCAGACTGGTCTTGAACTCCCGACCTCAGGTGATCTGCCCACCTCGGCCTCCCAAAGTGCTGGGATTATAGGTGTGAGCCACCGCTCCTGGCCCTATACTCACTTTTTATAAAACTGGCCTCATATTACTCCATTGTATAGTGGATACACTCTAATTTCTTTACAAATTCTTTACACTATTTTTTTGATGTTTTGTTGAAAAAACTTGAGCAGAGAACTGAGATTATGAAGGTGGACTGAGGGATGAATCTGGCAATAGAGCATAAAATGGATTAAAGAGGAAAGAATGGAAAAGGAAATTATTGATGAGAGACCCTTGAAATAATCCAGCTGAGATTAGGCCAGTTAGTGGCCATGGGTTTTCCCCTCACTCTTATGCATCCAACATATGCTTTCGTCCGTCTTGAAGTCCCGACATTTCTAGAAAACACAGTTGTCTTTCTCCTCTCTACCTTAGCTCATCTCAGTCCTTCTGAATTTCATCTTTGCTTGTTGAAATCCTACCTCTCCTTCAATATCCAGAACAAACCCCACACCCTGCCATGATTGGTCCTGGCTGGAAATTGTCCCTCCTCCCTTTCTTCCTTCCTTTGTGCATGTTTCTTCCAAAGGCAGTACAGGGCAGTGGTGAAGAGCAACGACTTTGGACCCACCAATTTGCTATCTCTGTGCCCTTGGGCACCTTACTCAATGCCAGTTCTCAGTGCCTCAGTGTCCTCACCTGTCAGAGGGGGAGGAGTGCATACAGCGTTGTTATGAGGAGCAAATCAGTTAAAGTTTGTAAGAATAGTGCCTGATAGTATCTGATCAGCGCTGAATAAATGTTAGCAATTGTTTGATTCACCGCAGAGGGCGGTCTACGAGAGCGCGGAGCCCCACTCGGCCAGCGGGGCCTGGCGGGGGACCTGTCGCGCTGAAAGCTCCAGGGTAGGGCCAACGCCCATCAGGCTGGCATCCGTTCGGGATGCGCAGGTTGCAGTCTGCAGCCTGCGGCGCCACGCCCAGGCGGGCGGAGCGCGGCTCCGGGAGGCGCGAGCCCGCGGTCATGTGACACAGTGAAGATGGCGTCGCCCAGCTGCCTGTGGCTCTTGGCTGTCGCTCTTCTGCCATGGACTTGCGCTGCCCGGGCGTTGCATCATCTGGACCCGCCGGCGCCGCTGCCGTTGGTGATCTGGCATGGGATGGGTGAGTGAGTGAGAAGCTGAAAAGGGTTTGGCGATTCTCTCTCCTCCTAGCCTCGGTTCGCATCTGCAAAATGCGGGTGTAGAGGGCGAGGACCTGGTCCCACAGCTCGCGGCTGCCTCGACATTTTAGAATTTGAAGGATCTGCATTGGAAAGAGAGAAGGGGAAGGAGCCGTCCTTTGATGAGCTCAAAGAGAGCCGCGCACGGCGTTGAGGTTTTACATGCTGTCCTTGATTAATCCTTACAGTAGTGGCGTCAGGATGCGGCATCTCGCACTTGATCAGGCTAGGTGAGCTGCGGCTGGCTACATGACTGGCGCATCTACCCTTTTATTTATTCCTTCACACATTGAACAGAGCTTTGTTAGGCACCTACAGTTCATTTACAAGTTGAGTAACCCTTATCTGAAATGCTTGGGACTGAGAAGTATTTCGGATTTTAAAAAAATGTTTGCATATATACAACAAGATATCTTGGGGGTTGGACCCAAGGAAATTCATTTCTTTTTCTTATACACCTTATACACATACCTGGAAGTTAATGTTTTTTGTTTTTTTTTTTTGTTTGTTTTTTGTTTTTCCTAAGACAGAGTCTCGCTCTGTCGCCCAGGCTGGAGTAGTGGCCGGATCTCAGCTCACTGCAAGCTCCGCCTCCCGGGTTTATGCCATTCTCCTACCTCAGCCTCCCGAGTAGCTGGGACTACAGGCGCCCGCCACCTCGCCCGGCTAGTTTTTTGTATTTTTTTTTTTTTAGTAGAGACGGGGTTTCACTGTGTTAGGCAGGATGGTCTCGATCACCTGACCTTGTGATCCGCCCGTCTCGGCCTCCCAAAGTGCTGGGATTACAGGCTTGAGCCACCGCGCCCGGCCTGCTGGAAGTGAATTTTATGCAATATTTTAAATAATTTTGTGCAACCTGTCACATGAGGTCAGGCGTGGAAATTTCCAATTGTGGCATTATGTCTGCTCTGAAAAACTTTCAGATTTTGGATTTCGCATTTTCAGATTAGGATGCTCAACCTATATTAATTTAACACAGTTATTGAGCACCTACTAGGTGCTGAGGATACAGTAGGGAACTAAACAGGCTAAAGTCTTTGTTCTTTTGGAACCTACTCTCCGGTAGGAGGAGCAGATTATAAAGAAATTAATAAGTAAAACATAACATATCAAATGGTGATAAGTGCAATGGAGAAAAGTATAGTAGGGTGTAGTATAAAGATGAGGTGGGGGCTTGCACTTTTAATGAAGCAAAGTTGGGAAAGAATTCATTAAAAAAGTGACATCTGAATGCAAAACAAGTGGATGAGGACAGTTGCCATTTGGCTATCTGGTAGAAGGAACAGTAAATGGGAAAGCCCTGATGCAGAAGTATGTCTGGTATATTCAACAGACAGCATTCAGGTCAGTGTGGCTGGAAATGAGTGAGCAAGGGGAAGAAGTTAGGAGTTTAGTTTGGAAGGGAGGGGCAGTTACAGAAGTTATTGGGCCTAGTAAGACTAATGCAGGGACTTTGGCTAGAGTGTCATGGGGAACTTTGTGACCACATGAGTGACATGATCTGACACATTTTTAAAGAATCACTTTAGTTGCTGTATTGAGAATAGATTGTAGGGGTTCATGGATAGTCACAGGGAGACAGGTTAGGAAACTATTGCAATAATTTAAACAAGAGATGATGATGGCTTGAAACTGTAGAGTAACAATAGAGGTGTTGAGAAGTGGTCAAAGTTTGGATAGATTTTGAAGGTGGATTGCTAACAGATCAGACTTGGAATAAGAGAGAAAGAAAGGAGCCAAGGATGACTCCACAGGTTTTGGCCTGGACAATTGGAAGGGTGAAGTTTTCATTTTACCAAGATGGGGAAGCCTGTAGGACAAGCTGACTTAGGGTGGGGGAAAGATCAAGAGTCTGCTTTTGGGCTTACTAAACTCGAAATCCTCATGAGACATCCAGGAAGTGTTGTAGAGGCATGGAGCGTGGAGTCTAGGACAGAGATACCGGCTGGAGATTTAAGTAGGGAGTCTTCGGCATACAGCTAGTAGTTAAAGGCCTGGTGAGATCACCTAGGAAATGAGTGTACACAGAGGACTGAGCCCTGAGGTACTCCATTCCCTTTGGAGGTGAAGGAAATGAGGAGAAACTAGCAAAGGAGACTATATCCGAACAACCAGTGAAGTGGAGGGGTCAGGAAAGCTCAGTGTCCTTGACGCCAAGTGAAGAAAGTGTTTCAGGAGGAAGGGCATGATCAACTGCATCAAATGTTGATAGGTCCTGAGTAACTGTATCAAATGTTAATGGGTCAAGGAAGATAAAGGCTGACAACTGATTATTGGATTTAGCAATATAAAGATGACTAATCTTGACAAAAGCAGTTTTGGGAGAGTGGTGACAGTGAGAGCTTCATTGGGATGGATTACAGAAAAATATTCAGAGTAATTAGAGTGAGCAAATACAAACACTTTCAAGGTTCTGCACCAGGCCCTGGGGCTACTACTGTGGGGTCAAAAGAGGACACAAGTTAGGAGCTTTGTGTTTTCCCAGAGCTCACAGTCAGTTGCAGAGGAGGCAGAGGCAGTTAAGTAACCTACAATTACAGCTCAGTGTGGAGAACGTTGTTTTCAGAGAAATAAAAGGAATAGACGATTCTCTAGGCAATAGCCTTTTCTTCTTCTAAAATTGGTGCTTAAGCTTTCTTGCAGGTTGAAAATGGAATGAGTAAGTTCGAAATGGGAAATGATCTCACTCCACTTCTCCTACTCAGTAGCCAGTTTGCTTCCTGTTCCTAGTTCTAGTTCCTTGAAATAGAAGAAACAAGTCTGGGATTAGGACAAGATGAAGAGGCTCCTGAAATGCAAATTTTAAGGAGGCAGTCACTCTCAAATTCAGGGTCAGCACTTACATAAACCTGAGAATGCGTGCCTCCTTAAATTTTGTGCCCTAGAGCAGGGGTCCCCAAGTCCCTGGGTCGGGTCTGTGACCTGTTAGGAACTAGGCCACACAGCAGAAGGTGAGTGAGCCTGGAGCCTTACGGCCATGAGCTCTACCTCCTCTCAGGTCAGCAGTGGCATTAGATTCTCATAGGCGCTCAAATCCTGTTGTGAACTGCGCATGTGAGGGATCTGGGTTGCGTGCTGCTTATCAGAAAATAACGAATGCCTGATGATCTGAGGTGGAACAGTTTTGAAAAATTGTCTTCCACGAAACTGGTCCCTGGTGCCAAAAGTTGAGGACCGCTGTCCTAGATGCTTCATTTGCCTCACCCTAGTCCTGGCCCTGAAGACAAAACTTTGCATCTCTTCACCCCAAATATCCTGTGTGATAGGGGAAGGGAATGTGTACCTGTGCTTATTTTTCATTTATAAATATGGTGTCTTAATTATCCTATATGGGCTTTTTGGGTTTTTTGAGACAGGGTCTCATTTTGTTGCCCAAACTGGTCTCAAACTCTTGGCCTCAAGCAACCCTCCTGCCTCGTCTTACCAAAGCGCTGGGATGATAGGTATGAGCCACCATGCTTGGCCTATATGGAATTTTTTTTTTTTTTTTTTTTTTTGAGATGGAGCCTTGCTCTGTTGCCCAGGCTGGAGTGCAGTGGCATGATCTTGGCTCACTGAAACCTCCACCCTTGAGGTTCAAGTGATTCTTCTGCCTCAGCCCCCCAAGTTCCTGGGACTACAGACACGCGCCTCCACACCCGGCTAATTTTTCTATTTTTAGTAGAGATGGGGTTTCACCATGTTGCCCAGGCTGGTCTCGAGCTCCTGACCTCGTGATCCACCCACCTCGGCCTCCCAAAGTTCTGGGATTACAGACGTGAGCCACGACACCCAGCTCCTGTATGGACTTTTGAAGCTTGTTATTACTTGATGAACAGGAGCTAAGCAAAAAATGTTCTTTCTTCTATTTTTTAAAATTGAGGTAAAAATTCATATAAATTTAACCATTTTAAATTGTGCAATTCAGTGGCATTTAGTGTATTTGCTATGTTGTGCAACTAACACTTCTCTCTTTTTCAACGCCCCAGGAAAACACACATAGCCATTAAGCAATCACTCCCTGTTCTCCCCTCCTACTACTTCTTGATAATCTCCAACTTAGTTTTCTGTATATGAGTGGATCTGCCTATTCTTTTTGATCATACAAAAGGAATCATGCATTCTGTGACCTTTTGTTTCACTTAGTGTAATGTTTTTGAGGTTCATTCAAGTTGTAGCATGTGTCAGCACTTTCTTCCTTTTTATAACTGAGTAATATTCCATTGTGTGAATATACCACATTTTGTTCAGTCATTCATTCATGGCCTTCTGGATGGTTTCTCCCTTTTGACTATTACAAATATTGCTGCTGTTAACATCTATATGCAAGCTTCTGTGTAGATGTGTGTTTTTATTTCTTTTGGGTGTATAACTAGGAGTTGAATTGCTGAGTCATTTAGTAATTGTATGTGTAACTTTTTGAGAAACCACCAAACTGTTTTTCACAGTGGCTGCTTATTACATTCCCACCAGCAACGTCCAAGGGATCCCGTTTTTCTACATCCTTGACAATACTTGTTGGTTTCTATTAAAAAGTATTATTAAAGACATCCTAGTCTGTGCGAAACGGTATCTCATTGTGGTTTTGGTTTGCATTTCACATGCTTTTCACATGCTAATTGTTAGATATTTGTATATCTTCTTTGGAAAAATATCTGTTTAATTCCTTTTCCCGTTTTTAAATTAGGTTATCCTTGAGTTGTAAGTGAGTTATAAATTCCTAGTATATTCTGGATATTAAGCCCTTATTGGATAAATGTTTTGCAAATATTTTCTTCCATTCTGTACATTGTTTTCACATTCTTGATAATGCTCTTTGAGGCCTCAAAGTTTTTAAAGAGTAAATAATATTTTGACTTATGAGTTTCCATCATTGTTTTTTGTTGGCTAGGAGACAGCTGTTGCAATCCCTTAAGCATGGGTGCTATTAAAAAAATGGTTGAGAAGAAAATACCTGGAATTTACGTCTTATCTTTAGAGATTGGGAAGACCTTGATGGAGGTAAGGCGCTTCACAGCTGTTCCTTTGAGGAGTTGCTGACTGCTTTCATAGCATATACTGTTGAAATGCTTTGCCTTGTGTTTTTAGCAGCAAATCATACAATGATACTTTCACCCTTGAGTGGCTCGTGTGAGGATACGAACCTAAACGAGTTTACCTCTTAGAGAAGATGTCAGTGGTTGTTTTCAGTCCCATCCTGTCTCTTGTCTCTGGCTTCTTTTTTAGGACGTGGAAAACAGCTTCTTCTTGAATGTCAATTCCCAAGTAACAACAGTGTGTCAGACACTTGCTAAGGATCCTAAATTGCAGCAAGGCTACAATGCTATGGGATTCTCCCAGGGAGGCCAATTTCTGTAAGTTCCTTTTTGTTACATTGTACCACTTATATGGAATGGATTTTTTTTTTTTTTCTTTTATTCAGATAAATCCACTCCTTCACAATTCAAGATTGTCACCTATCTTGGAAGGGAAATTTCCTAAAACGTTCCCGTGTATGAAGCTTTATGGAACTTAATTTCTTTTCTTTTTTTTTGAGACGGAGTTTTGCTCTTGTTGCCCAGGCCGGAGTGCAGTGGTGTGATCTTGGTTCACTGCAACCTCCACGTCCTAGGTTCAAGCGATTCTCCTGCCTCAGCCTCCCGAGTAGCCGGGACTACAGGTGCTCACCACCATACCTAACTAATTTTTTGTATTTTTAGTTGAGATGGGGTTTCACCATGTTGTCTAGGCTGGTCTCAAACTCCTGACCTCATGTGATCCACCCACCTTGGCCTCCCAAAGTGCTGGAATTACAGGTGTGAGCCACCGTGCCCGGCCAGAGCTTAATTTATTTTCTATGAAAGTTGAAAGAAAGATTTGCATTCGCCTATAACAGAGGAAAATCCTGAAACTCTGTGGGTTTGGGGAACCACAGAGGATGACCAGCTTAATCTGTGATGCCGATTGTGGATGATACATTTCCATCTGACAGTCGGAGCTGAAACTCCCTTTTATTCCATAGGAGGGCAGTGGCTCAGAGATGCCCTTCACCTCCCATGATCAATCTGATCTCAGTTGGGGGACAACATCAAGGTAACTTTGCCTCTTTGCTTTCTTTTTTCTCTGTTCTAACCCACATGACCATGTGATTTTTAAAAAATCTAGGAACTGTATTTGCACAAGACATCAGCCATCCTTGCAAAATCCTGTTTCTCTAGCTTTTAACAAACTAGCCAGCATTGCTGGAGACATAGGAAGAGACGTAGGATTCCAGAGGCCTGCATCACTAGGTTGACATCTACTTCTCTCCAATTTTGTTGACATGATTGCATGGAAGTGAGATGGTTATAGCCACTGGCAGGTGGTGGTTGAGGAGTTAGGAAAATCGAGTGACCTTTCCTGTTCTTTTTTTTTTTTTTTTTTTTT